GCCCGCGGCGCCGCTGCCGCTGCCCGCGGCGCCGCAGCCAGCGGCGCAGGCGCCGGCGCCAACGCCGTCGTCCGCCTGCAAGAGACGCGCGACGCGCTGCGCGTCGTCCTCTGTGGCGCGGCGCAGCGGGCGGCCGGTGGCGCCGTCCAGCAGTACGAGCTCGTACAGCTGACGGCGCTGATGTCCCCCCGCTGGGACGGCGAGCGGCGCAGGGCTGAGCGCGAGCGGCGACGCGCCGGGCGGCCACTGCTGCGGCTGCTGGGCGGCGAGCTGCTGCCATGGCGGCTGCTGCGGGGCGCACGCGGCGTAGTGCTGCTGGGAGGCATGCGTTTGCATGCTGTGCTGGTTATCAAACTGGTCCGGTTCCGAGTAGCACGTGCGCTGGGACGCGAATGAAAGAGGTAGGTACTGGCCGTAGTGCTCCGCATGCTGACTCTGCTGAGATGCCATGCAGGCGTGCTGCTGCACGGCTGCGACCTCCGACAGCCTGGGCGGCGCCACGGGCAGCCGCTGCGCGTCGAAGGGCGACGCAGGCACGTGGCCGGGCGCGGGCGCCGCGGGCGCGTGCGGGGCGCCCGCGTGCGCGGGGTCGGCGGCGCCGCAGCAAGCGGCGGCGGCCGGCGAGGGCAGGTCGTCGGTCAGGAGGAACTGGTCCGCAGAGCGACAGCAGAAGTTGGAGGGCATCATGCTGTCAGCATCCAGGTAGGAGCAGCTGCCCACAGAGCCGTCCAGGGACGCGGCGGTGCCGGGCGCGCAGAACAGCAGGGCGTCGTCGGGCGGCATCATGAATAACCCGGACGCCATGGTGGCGCCGCGCGTCGGGCTGTGTGGGTTGGGGGAGCCGCGGGGGGCGGTCAAGTGGATGGGGGCCAACGGCGTCGGGTGCCTGCGCACCCGAATGTGCGCACGTTGCGCGCCCAGGCGGCAAAACGGCCGTAACTGCTCGCCAGGGCCCGCCAAACGCCTGCATATAAGTTGCCACAACAGCCTTGTAATAACGCGGTCTCTCATGCATGGCAGGCCACGCGAGACCCCTGCCAGGATCATGCAGAAGGTACTGTCAGGCACCAAAGACCCCCGCAAAAAATAGAGCATCATGCAGCGATTCTTTTGAGAGAGGCCTGGGCAAGAGTCAAAGGCTGCGTCCTCTTCATTGCGTTGCTCTCCACAAGACTCACCCACAGCAGCTTTTATGCATAAACTTTCACTTTGAGTTTTTCTGCCTCAAAGTAAGGCGGCTGGCAAGCGTTCTGCAGATCAGGCGAGGGATCTGAAGGTTCCGAACAAGGATGCCGGTTTCAGTTGGAGGTGATTTCGGTTTTAAACATAGCTCGATCGTGTTACCCTTTCTAGCGCCTGGTCTGCAGCCTTTCGGCCACAGGATGCGCGCGCGCAGCGCAGTAGCTGCAGCTCGTCACCCGGAGAAGTGACGTGCTGGGTCGGCAGTGACACGCATACGCTCAGTGGTTTGCTGCGTGCAGAAGCAGACCGCGGTCATATCTTGGATGCTGGAGAAATTGACTTCGATCCTGGAGTGTTCCTGCACTGCGGGCGGACAGGACATGCATGTATCAGCTGTACGCCTGTACCTGCATGGTACGTACCTTTGTTGCTTCGCCGTCGCCCAGGTCCCGTGCTGTGCCGCATGCAGCGGACTACAGATACTGAAAGATTGACCAGCTATTGCATGACGTACCAACGCAGCCCTGCATGGGCTCTTTTGGTGCATGCAGCCGTTGATAGGCACCCAGCACTGCATGCTCCTGCCCTCCTGACTTCAGGAGAGGTTACTTTGACAGCTTTCAGCCCTCACTGCGGCCAGTGTGCAAAGCCAAGCGCACGGAGCGCATCTGCCGCGGCCTTGCCGGTTGCCACCGACGCCTCGCTGCTTCTCCCGTGCCCTGCAAGCAGCTGCTGCTCCTGGGCCGCCAGCCGCTTGACTGCCTCCGCAGCACCCCCCTGCAGCATCTGCGTTCGGCACTCTGGTAGCTCCGCCACGTTGGCTGCGAGGTGAAGCAACAGGCAAGGCAGCTGGCCTGCCCGGCCCTGACTGCAGCTGTGGCCTTTGCATGGCCCGGGGCTGCCGCCCTCATCCGGCAGCAGCGCCGAACGCACGAGAGACGACAGGGAGGAGACACCGCCGGCCTGCGCGCGGCATGCACGATAGGAGAGGGGCAGGGCTATGCATGCATCGCACGTGCATGCATGCCCTATGAGCAGCCCTGCAGAACGCTTGTGGCAAGACCAGCTGGCGGGGCCAAGCCCGCCACAGTAGGGCCAGCAGCCGCGCTTGGTACCTTGACAGCAGCTGCAGCACTGGGGCGAAGGGTCTCCAAAACCGACGCACCTCCTTGAAAGCGACCTTCCCTTCCTTTGCCATCGTGATGTTCACAAGGGCGGACGCGGCGGCGGCCGTCGACTCCCCGGGCTGCTGCCCCTCCAGCAGCGCGAGCATCTCCACTAGCCTTGGGACGCATCCGGCGCTCACCGCCTTTGGGAGGGGGGTTTGCGGAGAGTGGCAGGGATCGGCTTGTAGTTGGCTGATGATGCGCCCGGAGTCAGTTGACAATTGTTGCGCTCTCTCACTAGTCGCGCGTTGAGTGTAACCACACCCCCGCAGAGCCGCCCAATTAAAAGCCCTCGGCACAAAGGGAGCCAGCGGGGGCCCAGCCTCGACAACGCTGACCTGGGATATCGCCTCGGCCCTAGTAGAGCACAGCGCAGCCAGCAGCTGCGCGGCTGCCTCGCGCACCGCCGCGGGCTGCGTCTGTGTGGCCAGCAGCTCCGCCAGCATGGGCACGGCCGACGCATTGTAGATCAGCTGCCCTAGCGTCGATTCGCTGTTGCGCACCTGCATGCAGGGTCAGGAACGCACATCCGCTTGTCGCAACCGCGTAATCACTGCTCATCGATACCAAGCTGGTGTGGGAGCAAGAGCGTTCTACCGACAAGAATGCCGTGATGCGCGTTGTGCCGAGCGCACCTGGGTGCATGCGTGCAGGACTGCCAGGGCCAAGGGCGCACGCGCCGGCTCTTCCTGCCGGGCCCTGGCCACCAGCGCTGCCAGGGCGCCCTTGTGCGCAGCCACAGCAGTCCTAGCGCGAGGGGGGCGGGGGGTGAGAGGGGTACTGGGTTGATGCACTAGCAGGCCCGCATCCTCAGCAGTTCTCGCCTCAGCGGTGCTCGTCAATCGCGCCCTGCCGCCGCATTTACACTGCTATTGTTATACCAACTTCAAGGATGCTGGTAATGTTGCCGCTGCTGCTGCTCTCGCCATATGCAAATTACAAAATGCTGCCGCTGTGTCCCGCGCACCCTCTGCTTGTCGCACCTGCCGCACTCAAACCGGCACGCCTCCTGCAGCGCCCCATACGCCTCATCCCGCACCGCCGCCGGGCTGCCCACCGCCACGAGGCCAAGCAGCGGCGCCAGGCCGCCATACTGCAGGAAATCCCGCAGGCCGGTCTCGCGGCGCAGCAACAGCTGCAGCGCAAGCGCGGCGTCCCGGCGGACACTGTCCTCTGCATCCTGGCCCAGCCACCCATTGTCGGCAGCGATGGGTTTGAAGCGATTGGGGGGCTCTCAGCGCGACCTTTCACATCAGATGAGCTCAAGCGGGCGGTGGCGCACGCAACATTGCAGGCGCGCAGCAGCTGAGGGCGCACGCTGCTGCAGCTCGTACGCACTTCACCTGCAGCAGCGCGATGAGCGCGGGCGTGACGCCCGCGGCGATGCACTGCACCAGCTTCTCGGGCGCCCCCATCAGCTCGCGCGCCGCCACCACGGCTTTGCGGCGGATGCGGGCGTCGTCATGGCGCAGCTCGCGCACCTTGGAGGGATGACAGGGCAGGGGCGCGGCCACTGATTGACGCAAGCAGTGCTGCACTCCGCAAAAATCGGCAGCTGCATGAGAATCATGACCAATTTACATGGCTTCCCATTGTGCAGCAGGCGCTGTCCAGGTGGCAGCCCTCCTCCACCCGCACGGCCGCACCAACTTGGGGTATGCGAAGGCCTCAAAGCCGCGCGTGACGGCTGTCGCTGGCAGGGGCTGCGGGTAGGGCTTTGCCTCGAATCGGGAAATGTGCCGGCCATTGCGTAGTGCGGTGTCAGAGAGCGCCCCGAGCTGGAACACCTCCATCGACCCGCTGCGCGCCCTACCCAAGCGCTGCCCAACAGCTGCTGCGTATGCAGTGCTTGACCAAGTCAAGTACTTGGCACAGCGCACCCTCGCCACAGCCACCTATGTCGAGTTTCTTACTGCTATGATTAATGCTCATTTACTAAGGGTCCTGTGCTGTGAGCCTGATAAGGACGATGCAGCATGCGAAATTGCGAGCTTCAAGGAAGTGCAGTTCAGGTCGACAATGCAAAAAGATTATCATGTTAGATATGGCTTTTGTTCTCCTCCACCTCTAAGTGCGGAGAACCCGCTCGGCGACCGTAGCAATCCCTTGGTCCGCGATGGTCCCGATCCAGGTCAATATCCGATGGGGATAATCGCTGAGAAGACATCAAGTTTGAATTCCTGATTTTAGCAAAGCGGACGCTTGCCATAGCTGGCAGATCGTCGTCTCGACCTGCGCCTTCGCCACCATGCGGCAGGCCCTGGCTGGCCCGCAGGGCGGGCGCGCCAGCCTGTCTGGTAACAGACACCAATCTAAGCAGCTTTCAGCCCGTGTAGCGCCCTCTAGGTGCAGCAGGACGCGTCTGGCATGCACCGCGGTGGCAAGCACCGCTGAGGAGCGCGGTGAGGGGCTATTACATCAATTGAGATGTAGTGAATCTCTATGCAGTCTTGCATCTTATCTGCAGGGAGACGATCGATATGATGTCAATCTGCGAATCGCAAATGCTGTCTCATTGCATGCGGCAGTGGGTTAAAAGTGCTCGATCTTGGCTTTTGTGCCCGTATGGCAGCTGTCGGGCGCAGCATGTGCTCCATGCGCAGAGCCGTGGCAGTGCTGCATGGCGCATCGCTGCCCGCTGCACTGCAGCAGCGATGGAGCAGAACAGCCGGGGCCTTTCCAGCGAAAGCGGGCAACGCAAGAGGCACGGCGAGGCTCACTGCATCCCGTGCGCCCGCTGCGCTGCGCCCCTGCGAGCAGCCGCCCTGGCGATGAAGCAGGAGCAGGACGCCGTCGGCTTCGAGTCCACCCGCAGCATGAAGCTGCAGCGCAGCTACCCCCTGGCCGCGGTCGTCGGCCAGGACGCCATCAAGGAGGCGCTCCTGCTCGGCGCCGTCGACACGGCGCTCGGCGGGATCGCGATCGCGGGGCGCCGCGGGACGGCCAAGTCGATCATGGCCCGCGGCCTGCACGCGCTGCTGCCGCCGATCGAGGTGGTGGAGGGGTCCATCTGCAACGCCGACCCGGAGGACCCGCGGTCCTGGGAGGTACGGCGTTGTTTCTTTCGGGGGGAAGGGGCCGGTTGGCGGCGGCAAGGGCGGGCGGGCAACGGCAGCAGCGTGTGGGGCGAGAGCGCATGTGGCTGGTTCGGGCGGGTGAGACGGACGGTCTGCCGCTGGCTTGTGCCCGAGCGCAAGGCGCCACGTGACCTGAAGGCAGGAAGTTGGTGCTGACAGGGCGTAGCGGCAGGCGGCCGCCCGCGGCACTGCTGCTGGGTACGCAAAAATGCACGCCCCCCAGCTGGCACGTGCGCACGCCCGTGAACGCATCACCCGCCGCCCGCGCCGGGCGCCCCGCAGGACGGCCTTGCTGAGAAGCTGGGCAGCCGCGAGCTGCCGACGCGGATCCGGGAGGCGCCCTTTGTGCAGATCCCCTTGGGCGTCACAGAGGACCGCCTCGTGGGGACGGTCGACATCGAGGCGTCCATGAAGGTGCGCGGAAGCTGCCTGCCGGGGAGGGGGCGGCCCGCGGCGCGCCCGCTGGGTCGCCGCCGGGATGGGGCTGGGCGGGACAACTGCAGTGTGCGCGGTGAGCAGTGGGGGGGCGTGCCGCGCGACTTCGACCCAGTGGGGCGTCTGGAGAAGGCACATCCCAGTAGCACCAAGGGTCGCACTGACGGCGGCCCGCTGCACGCGGTGTGTTTGTTATGCAGGAGGGCAAGACTGTGTTCCAGCCCGGGCTGCTGGCTGAGGCGCACCGCGGCATCCTGTGAGCGGGCAGCTGAAGGGGCAGCGCGGGAAGGCCACGGGGCGGCAGAGGCGCTAAGGGCAGCCGCCGCATGCGCGGTCGAGGCAGCCAGCCGCGTCAGGGAGTATAGTGCGGCGGGCGGGGGAGGACGCCGCAGGCAGCACGTGCAGGGGAAGACGGGAAAAGGGGAGGGTGGGGAGGCGTCCTGATTCGTCTCAGATCCCGTCTTGGCAGACAAACACTGCCGCTCTGCCTACGCCTTCCGTGGCAACCCCATGTCGCCGAGCCGCCTTATCCTCCGCCGTCTGCGTCCCCGATGCCCCTCTCCGCCTCTGCCCTCCTGCATGGCCGGACTCACCCACCCACCCCTGCCCGGTCGCGTGCCCGGCGATTTGAACGCCCCTCCTCGACAGCTACGTGGACGAGATCAACCTGCTGGACGACGGCATCGCCAACCTGCTGCTCTCCATCCTGAGTGACGGCGTCAACGTGGTGGAGCGCGAGGGCATCAGCATCAGCCACCCGTGAGCGCGCGCGGCTCGCGGCCCCCTCAACACAGCACCACAAGCCGCCGCCCCACGCCCGCACGCACGCGCCTCAGGCAGCCAGGGCGCTTTTTCGCCCTCGGATCGCGCCGCACGTTCCCTGCACGGGACAGGATCGAGCCGCCCCCGCCTGCGTCGGTCCCCGTGGAGAATTTCCCGCCGCCGCTGCGCTGTCTACCGCCCTCACCCTGCACCCCCGCCCCAACCCCTTGTGTCCCCCCAGCTGCCGGCCGCTGCTGATTGCGACCTACAACCCGGAGGAGGGCCCCCTGAGGGAGCACCTGCTGGACCGCATCGCCATCACACTCAGCGCAGACGTGCCCGGTGGGTCACGGATTCGAACCCCAATCCCCAACTACGCTGGCCGCCCACGCCGGGCCGCGGCCCGCGCCTGAGCGTCGGCCAAGCAGCGGGCGCGGGGGGCGGCCGCGCGGCGCCCGCTTTCGGCGGCAGATGCGTGTCGCGGAACACGCGCGCGGCGCCGCCGGCGTCAACTCGGCCCGCGGACGCAAAGGCTTGTGCCGCACCGCCGCCGCCGCCGCCTGCCGCCGCCGCCTGGCGCGGTAGCCGGCACGCACGCACGCAAACCACGCACCCGCTCTCGCCCCCACGCCCGCGCAGGCGGCTGGGAGGAGCGCGTGCAGGCGATTGACGCGGCGGTGCGTTTCCAGGACGACGCGACGCTGGTGCTGCAGGAGACGTCCGAGCTGACGGGGGCGCTGGCCACCAACGTGGTGCTGGCGCGGGAGTACCTGAAGGAGGTGGAGATCAGCACTGACCAGGTGGGTTGGGTCGGGGTGGTTGTACACATTGTATACATACAAATGATATCAATTGGACTCTGAAGCTCAATGGGATACAATGTGTATATATGTGTTTTTATGATATTCGGGTACCTCGAGGAAGTGGAGATCAGTGTAGATCAAGTGGGGGCCCTGGGGGTG